TAAACACTTCTACTTGAAAAGCCTTGTTTAAAACTACCTTCTAAAACACAGACTTTTGCACACAGACATCTCACCCAAGAATTTGTGAGTATGATCTGTACATATTAATTTTAAACAGGTCATTTCTCCCTCTTCCCCCACACCTAATGCAAAACCTGTAAAGATGGCTGCAAAAAGTGTGAAGCAAGACTGAAAGCCAGGAGTGAATGAAGCTCCAGTGCTCTTTCCTGATGGACTCATGTGGGATGAGAGCCCTGCCCCAGACAGGACTAATTCTGTATCTGTGATGCAGCTACTATTTGTACTAAGTAAGTCAGTCCTAGTACTGTACAAAACACATCAAAAAACTCCTGTAAGTGTTGATGTAGAGATTTACATTTTCAGCATGGAAGAAATTTAAGCTTGTAGCTCAAACTCCCACTGAAGTCAATGGAAATTTTATGTTCAAATACTTCTCAAAATACAATGCATTACTGCCACAGGTGAATCACTAGAGATATTAGGTATGCTAGCCATATTTATCTTAAGAATGAGTGTTACATGTGAAACAATTTTTAAAAATTTTTTTGCTGGCTATGAATAATTTTCTGTAGCAACAACACTTTTAGCTGCTGGCCTAAGAGAAAAGCCTGGTGAATAAACACATGAGAAAACTAAAAAAGTAAATTTCCTGTAAATCTAAAACTAAAGAAAGTCCTAAAGACTTTGAAATAACATGTTGTTTGAAACATGCCTCAGTCTTTCTCAGACTTCAAAAGAAACATTAACTCCTAGAAGAGATTTGATTCTTCCTCTTGGGAATCTAACTATAGAGGCAGGACTTGACAGACAAATTTTAGTGGAGCTTGCTCGAGAGACATTTGCTATTACTTTAACCAAGGATATCTGTTAGGAAACTATGCAGAATTCAAGTGGTCCTTGGTTATATCACTGTCTTCTTGCTCAGTGATAAGATGAGGACATACAACTCACTTTCCTAAATGAGTTAATGAACTTGCAGTTTCTTTTCAGCAGGTACATCAAGACTGCTTAGCCATCAGTATAAATAAATAAAATATTACATTGTAAAAAATTAAAAGGAAGAATTTTCAAAAGGAACTGAAGTAGATTCTGTGTCTGACAGTGACTTAAGTCTCAGCCAAGAGGTCTTTTCTTGGAGCTCCTGTCTTCAGAAATTTATCCACAGAGACAAAGAAGGCTCTCGCTGACACATTGAGGCAGATTTGCTGTGGGTTTAACAATCTGCCTGTTGCTTACAAAAGTAAGCACAAGACATGGGCTCTTACTGAAAAACCAATGAAAGAAAAATTAATCACTCCCAGTCAAGCCAAACTTAGCACCTTGTATTTTCTGGTTTGTAGAGCTACACTGTTAAATGCTTTTTTTGCCATTAGCTCTGCAGTGACCTTGCATGCACTGAGGGCAGCAGAGCAGAAACGAAGATATCCATCAAACTGCTCAAAAATCCCTAGAGTTCAAAGGCTGCATTCTCCCATCACTTAACTAGGAGGAATTCTCTTGAAACGGACAGAGTGACAAAACTGGCACAAAGGAGGTCAGATGCTGGCTCTTTATCTATAGCTGTCTTCACAAGTGTACGTTTGCTGACCAAAATCCTACCATAAAGTTTCTGGGTTTGCAATTACAAGTTAGGAGGTCTCTGTTAACCTCTTCATTCTGAAGACTGGGATTAAAAAGACCTTTTCTATTTCATTCTCTCAAGGTATATGGGCTTGTGGCATAGAGGAATGTAATTAATGAACCAAAACAGGAGAGGACAGGCATGATCAGGCCTGCTGTAAAACTCAGGAGGCTCTGCATTTCTTATAAAGGATAACAACTATATCTACAGCCCCGAGGCAGCGTGTCTTACAGTAGTTAGAAGTATGCTGCTTGTAACCTTGCTCAGGCACTCATCCTCAGGAAGAACCTCAGGACACTGCATGGTAGAAGCTGTTGACTTATTTACAATTTACTGAAATATGATTGTTATACTGGTCCCTTGTTACTCTTGCAGCTTGTTGAAGACAACAACGAGTCAGTCATTGCTAACCTAAAAATTAAATACATATGCTAGATTCTGACAGCAAAATTGGGGAGGGGGGGAGAGGGACAGGGGGAGGAAGAGAGGAGAAAGAGCAAGACATCAAAAGGCTCACTTTGAAATAGGGAAGTCAATGATTTGGAAACCTTTGGCACTGTATTCAGAGTCTTACAGACCCTCCTGCTGGCAAACTTGCCCAACTCTGTCACCTGTAAGCATTAAAAAAATCTGACTTTGTACAGTGCTCCTCTTGCTCCTGCATGGCTACTCAGACTTCCAAGAAAGCACAAGATAGCAATTACCATAGCAGATCATCGCCCTTCTACTACCAGAAATGGGATCACACTCTCCATTCTGAATGATCATGCAGTTCAGACAAAGCCCAGAGCAGAGCATGAGATAGCAAAGTGGATTCAGAAATATGGGGAAAACACAGCTGCATTTGATTGCTAATTTTGACATTTGCCATCAAATAGCAGTGAATTGGTTTCACTGATGCTGGAGATCCTGAGTGAAAGTACAGCAGAAACATGGGGCCTGATCCTTTGCTGGAGTATATAGTTTGAATTTTGCTGGTTTTTTCCAGATTAACGATTGGGTCTCAAAAGCACCCTTGCCATCTTGTAAATGACAACAGGGAAAAAGTTGATAGTTTTGAGGGGGATGTTTAGTATTTTTTTGTTTTGTTTTGTTTTAAATCTGCAGCAAATGCTACTACTGCTTCAACTTCTTTGTTTATTTTTGGTCTATAAAGGAATCAAATTAACAACCCAGTAACCAACCCATTTCTTCTTTCTACTTAGCAAAGCTTTGAAATCCTGGCTGAATTTCTGCACTTTTCTCAAATTTAATAAGTCTTTCTCAGTTAGGAACAACTGTACTTAGCTCTCAGTAAATGCAAAGATTTTTCTTTTACTATGGGATTTAAAGGCTTTGTCTCTCACTATGTAGTTCATACTGCTACTTTTCCTTTTATCTCAATGTTTCAACGAGGTGCCTATTGCTGTAGGACATAGGTCCATAACTAGCAGTAGTGAAGACAGAGGCCAGTATCTGAAGACTTTTCCTAAGTGAATACAGTAGGCACTTGAGACACCGTGAATGATACAAAATCACATTGCAGCACCTTTAAAGTGACTGCCAAAGTGAGGTCAAAAATACAAGTTAGAAGCACAAATACCATTTACTTTTAATGTAACTTGTGCTCCCAACTTCCTTCGATACTCAAAATCCCACCTTATACCTTGTTTGTGAAGTGTACAAAGAAAGAGGGTGGTTGGGGAGCAAAGAAATTAATTTTCTTCCCCTTAGATTTCATCTCTCTGAAAAGTGCATCAAACTCTTTCAAAGATAGGCTGGAGGGAGAAAAGGGGAGAGGGAGAGTGGAGAAGAACATTTGGAACTGTAGCTTTGCATGTCGTTGAGAGGAACAATTTATCAGAGTCGTGGAGCTGTCAGTCCTTGACATGATAAGGAATAACACCAAATGAGTAATGTTTCCTCCAAACCCAGCTCCTTTAATTACAATCTTCCTCCTTGCAGAAGAGAGACAGAAGATGCAGAAACACCAATTTCATGCACTTGTGCCTGAATAATGTCTCCGTGCTGCCTTTTCCAGATGGCAACCTTTTCACTGGAGGAACTAATGATGTGGGCATATTTAGGGAAAAACCAATAACGGAGTCTTTAACCTTCAACAGCAAAAAGCATGTTGTACAAAATGTTCCTTGGGATACATTTACAAATATCAATTACATTGCTCACTGAGGTGTAATCAGCTGTAATAATCAAAATTAATTTTAAAAAATAATTAAACAGACCCCAGGGCAAATAGTCGATGCTCTTGTAGTATGACATCACAGTCTACATATGTACCTGGGAAGAACTTGCTCGCTCTGTAAGCAGCAAAGTGATTTTAAGGAATGAGAAGGATGCTGTGGCATGCTGAGAAAAAACCTGCAGCTCAGAAGGTACTATCAGACACATTACTTGTGTATCATAGCCTTCCTGATCAACACACCTGGAAGTGAACCAGTCATCACTGGGGATAAAGCTGCAACCTGCTACAGCTTGAGCTAGAGGATTAAGACTCCCTAAACTGATGCTGTAACAGACTCACTGTCTCCTCAGCAGGAGAAAAAAAGACCTTAATATGTTCAGCACTGCAATAACACAAGCTCAGACCAAAGCTCTGAATATTCTGTCAATGCACTGCTGCCCTACCCTATAGGTGGTTACTCTAGCCCTAACACACTTAAAAAGCACCAGTTAGATGTTACTTGTTTATTTGTATTCTTGACAAATGCCAAGCAAAAACATGGAAATGGCCCTCTCTCTCAGCAAAGGAGGAGCTTACACATGGAAAAGATAGTCCAGCTGCATTGCTGGCAGTAGGAATGCTGCACTCCCTCCAGACCTATCCCTGGTTTATATAAGCACTTGCCTCCTTGTCTCCTGAGACTAAACTAAAATTTGAACCTTTAATACTTCATACTGAGTAGAAAATGAAAGGACAGTACTATGGTAATACCTGATCCTTTCTACTAAGTCAGTGTATGAAGGACAAAGTTTACATAAGGGATGTAAGTCAAAAGCAGCAGCAAAGCCAGCATTTCCTCACCTTGCTCTGACCCAAGCAGAGCCCTGTGAGCACAAACACACACGGGTTGCTTAGGTTTTTCTTTTCAAGTGCAATAATTAGGCCTCATGCAAAAAGTATGCATTAATACATTATATGTTAAGGCTGCCAACCGAAGTTCTTCAGATCAATGTCTATTTCTTAGTGATTACTTCTGGCAGTCTAGAAAAGGAACCTTAACTGCAATAGGTGTCTAGTTTACAATGGCACATGTCAACAGACATACTCAGAAGCCTCCCAAGTCCAGACAAACTCTCCAGAGCCATATCAGAGGCAGAGCCGGTGGGAGAGCCAGAAAAGACAAAAAGCAGAAGTTACCTCAGATTTGCATGTTATTTCCTTTGTGTTTCGGCCAGGCATCAACTTAATAGCTGAAGAGAGGCTTTCACTCCAGGAATTGTGCTTGCTCTGTGACAGGCCTGGACCTGCTTTATTCTGGAGAATCTTCTTTTCAGATGCTGTGGGCCAGAACAGAAAAAAAAAGCTTGTAACACTTGAAGTTGAGCCTGTGGGAAGGTAGAGGGTTTGTACCCACATTACACAAGACACAACAACATGGCAGTGCCTCACTCCGGCTGCCTTGTCCTTCTATTTATAAGAGGAGCATTGAATGAACATGTACTTCTCAAGCCTTTATTTAAAAGCCTCACAGAGGTCTGCCATAGACCACTGTCGTTACACAGACATGAACTTTGAAGCCCTGCAGCACTACACACATTGTGATGTCATTCTTCACCCAAATATCCTCCCTTTTAAATTCTCTGATGGGATACAAGTGTCTAAGGAGACTTCTCTTCCTTGCACAAGCCTCTTGTACAGCACAAGCCTACAACATCACCAGATGATTACAGAAGGGCTGCGGCATGACACAGAAAGCAGTTACAATGCTGGATGAGAGAAACTGAGATCTGCTTTATCTAGCAGGTGATGTGCAGAGGAAGGGTATAACCAAGGAATCAGTGGCTTTCCATTAAGCGCTACATTTACTGCAATGTCTTTGCTTACTACAGTGAGTGTTCCATAAAAGAACAGAGACCTATAAAGTGTTGCCAAGCTTTTGTCATAATTTCTTCCCATAAAGGAGTCATCTCCGTTATCTTCATGTCCCTTTCTTTGTCATTTCCTTTTACAGAAAGATCCATCTTGTAAGTGTCCTCCAGAACCTGCCGCCTCTGAGAAATGAGCTGCTTCCAGATGATTTCTACTGTTCTCAGAATCTCCTGACGGACTAGGAAACAAAAGAAACTACAAATGAAGAATCATTTTTTGTGTAACGAGTCAAGCAGCAGATAAAGCAAAACCATCTCATTTGGAACAGCACTGGTCCAGAGTAACTGCTGGAGTCAGTGGAGTTGCTCCATTTTGTCTACTGCCTCCATAGGTTCTAAGCCAGACTAGTTAGTCTAATACAGAAAAGAGCAGGACATTTCTTTTACTATATTTCAACTCCCTGAGAGAAACAAGTAGGAGTGACTGATGATACTAGCTAGTTTCTGCCTTGGAAAACCATCTCATCAGAATTTTGATGATCTGACTATCATACGTAGAGTGCTAAAGCATCCTGTTGCCAAACATCATTAGAGACGGTGGAGGAAGGTAACCAAGTCATGAAACAATTTGACACAGCAACTGCATGCTATACAAGGAAGTGCTGAGCTGTTCTGCTGTATTTCCCTGCAAATGAGACTTATTTGGTTGCATCATATCCAAGCCAATATATATTTAAAAAAAAAAAAAAAAAAAAAGAAAAGAGCATCACTCTGCTGTAGGGTTCAGCTAACAGCCCCCACACTGAATCCTGCCCAAAATTTTTTCCAGTGTTTCTCTTAAAAGATCAAAATATTTCTTCCTGAGTACAACAGACAGACACAAGCTCTGTACAGGCCTTGAAAAAAGAAATAGAGCTACAAAGAGCAAGTAGCTGGGCACTGATACTGGCCACAACATGGGGAAGAGATCTCCAAACTGATATCCATTACTCCTGAGGATGTGGGTTGTGAATTTTGAATAAAAAGCTATGATGTGAACAGAAGTAATTTTTAGCACAACCTTCTTTTCTCTATGCTGTGCCTACACACCGAAGAGGCAATTAAGTAGCATTTGCACAAGCTGGTCTGATAACTGTTTAGGCCAGGCACTTTCCTGCTCTGTAAGCCAAAGGCAACGTGTGCCATAAATTACCATCATCTGGAGTAGGCAGACTGCCTTTTTCCTCTTCACTGGGTGCAAGGAAAATTTGGTGATACGAAGCCAACTTTGGTTTTGCATCCACCCCAAAACCTTCTGGACAGCTGTGCCAAAAAAAAAAAAAAAAAAAAAGAGGGCACGTGAGGAAACCAGACTTAGAACAAACTGGGGATAGTGAAAAAGCTAAAGGTATTTCTACACATCCACTCCTACTCGATTCATTTAGTAGACCAATATTCCCAGGCTCGAGGGCTTACACCAATCACATGATACTGAAGAATTGACAGGAAGTGGGAACTAAACCACTTCCAGTCTGGTTTTCAAAGTCAAGGAGCACTAATCGAGATCCTATGGATCACTCTCTTGTACATGCCTTATCCCTGCACTTCTTAGTGCATTTGTATCTACCACTCATCTCAATTAGCTGGAACACAGGGCTGCACTGGCGTAGCCAGATTGCATCCAGCTTTCTTGCATCTCCCCTGAGCATCTTGTATGCCATCTCTTTGCTCCGAATTTCTTCACTAAAGGTATCTTCCATTTTATGGGAAACACTGCCTTGCCGTATCCTACACCTGAACTGCTTATTTAGTCCAAGTTCTTTGCACCAATGATTGTTCATTCAGTTTATAAAGCACTCAGCATAAAAAAGCTGCAGACTTTAGCACCATGATGTTAGTGTCACGTAGATGTGATTATAACTGAGAACATCACCATGGCCAAAAAGAGTTAGTGCTGCTTTGGGGGGGTGTGGGGGGGGTGTGTCAGATAATTTACCAGTCAGCAGGTAAAAGACACCAGGAATTTCAGCACAGCAGTAATACTTACAATAAATGCCACAGGCTTAGTTAAGGCATCCAGACAACACATACTTGGTCACAGAAGTGCTGTCAATAATATATATTATATATAGCCACTAGCAACATACTACGTTCTTTCAATTGTAAACAGGCACTACTGCATGGGAGAGTCAAATCTCTTGGGTATGCAAAACTGTCATTTTTACTTCTGATTTTCTTTTAAATACCACAATTCTGGTTCCCTGGATCTGCTATGTTTGGCTTTTGGATAACACCAACACTTCTCTAATTTTTTTTTTTTTTTAATGTTTATGTTCTTGCTACATACAAACAATCCGTACCCCATCTCAACAGTTTTGGCCTGGAAATTATTATCTGACTGGAATAAGAACAATCAAGAAAAAGAGCACCTCAGGAAGTGCAGCTCATTTCTGGTGTGATACTGTGTTAAAGGATTCAATTCAGACCATCTAAGCAGCACAGAAAGTTTTCATTGAAACAACAAACATCATTATAGTGAACAAAGCACTAGCCAATGTTTGCTTATTTTGACAAAACAGAGTTGTCCAAAATAAATCCCCAGCTTACATTAGCAAGAGTACCTCTGACACATCACTTGTATGAATAGCAAACAGAGTGGGTATGGATGTTCTAGCCCTACCCAAATCAATGGCAAAACTCCCAACTTCAGTACAACTAGGACTCTGCAGCTCAGATGCAAGTAACAATAACCATAACAGAAAGATTCACAAGATCCATGCACAGTTTTATATATATTTTAAATGTACCCACACAAGAATAGCTTGGATCAGAAAAACCACCTCCCTAAATTAGTCCATGCAGATGTCTCGGAGAATGGCCACCTGCATGCTCGTGGAGTGATTCTAGCCCACATCCCAGGAAGATTTCCAGATTCTCATTTTAATGATGGGCTCATGAGACAACTCCACTGAAATCAGTTCAAGCTTGTTAACTGCAGTTACTACTCCAAAGTGAGTAAGCTGCTGGAAAAGTTGGATGAGTAGAACAGATACACACAGATGTTTTGGTTAATAAAGAGTACCAATTAAATCTATGTGCAAATTTAAGGGTTCTGCTTAGACAAACATGCAAGCTTGTCTGGGTGTCTCTGAAATGAAATACCCTTTTCAAAATGAAAAAAAATGGAATTAAGTGTTACATTATTACCATCCACTGTGCCTTGCTTATTACACCCACAAACACACATCCTAGCCTGCCTCTGAGCAAGAGAGGTGATAGGAAATTTTCTGCTCACTAGTATTTCAAGGAGAAAATAGCCTTCTGATTGAAGAACTTTCTTGCTGAAAGACAATCCATTACCTCCGGAATACTGAGCACATTAGTAATCTTCTTTTCCTCCAAATTAAATGATAAAAAATTACATCAAAACATTTCTGGTTTTGTTTTTCACTTTTTTAAGTGTATGAGGAAAACAACCATCTTTCCCCAAGTAGCTTTACTCTGCCACTTCAACAGACACCAAATCAGAGCGGAAGGTGTGCCCTATTTAAAGCAGAATGGTGCTTTAAACCCCCAGAGCACTGAGCCCAATGGGTCAAATGCTTGCTAGGATACAGTACATATACTACATCCAAAGTCCTTTGTCTAGCTGAACCCAGCTCAATCTCAGCTTCTAGCGATTCCCCAAAATGGATATTGCCTAAGTTTTGTGAAATCTCCCCCTCTGCACCCACTCCCATAGATAACAGCACAGAGATGTAAACAAACGTTATACTGAGACGAACGTGTACCTGCCCGAATTCAGTTGGCAAAGGCAGTACATTAGGCAGACGACAAAATTATTATTTGAGTTGTAAGTTGCAAAAATAATGTCCCACTGCTCCTGCAGGACATTGAGAGTGTTCAGGACATTAAACTGTTCAGGCAGCGATTGTTGTGGTCTGGATAGGCAGTATAGGATGGCTCTGTTTACACAGCTGTATAGGGCACTGAGGAAAACTTCCTTTTGAGAAACGGAGCTTTCTAAGACCTGTGAAAACACAAAACAGCAGAGTACTTGGCTTGCTCAAAGAGCTCTCTCCCCAAAGATCCACTCCTCTCACTTCATTTAAGCTGTTACAAACTTATTTCACAGAATTCCCCTGAACTACCTGTTAGATACAAATTCAATTTTCCTGTATTTCTGCTGAAGTCCCCAGAATTGTGGAGGAGCTTAATTTATTCCTGTTCAGCAACACGTACATAGCCAACAGACAGTGGCACAAAAAAGCTAACTATCCCTTCATTACGCTGCACCACCTAGCTCTGACTGTCATTTAGAGGCATTAAGCGCTCATGCAAGAAAACAGGAATAATCACAATCACAAAATGTATTACAGCAATCTTCTTGAGAATTGCGGTATCATGACCTCAGTGTGAAACAGAGCACATTACAACATGTTGATAACAGTTGGAAAAAAATTTCATGTGACTCACCCCCATAATCTGTTTGGCAATGAAGATCAGGATTTGCTTGGGGTCAGCAGCAAACATTCTGCTGTTCAGCTTCTCAACCAGCTTCTGAGCACAATAAACAATATTCATCATGGATACAGGTGCAGTTGATTCTGAAGTGCCATGAGAATCACTGCTCCCTGGAGAGGATACAAGAGGGTTGATTATTCCAAAACAAGCTGAAATGCAAAAAAAAAATTATGTGAGATGTAAGGTACCAGAGCTGAGAAGGAACAGTCTCATGCCATAATGTCTCAGAGTTGGGACATGTCTAAGAAAACTCTAGGTCTAGCAGAAATACCTTACCCAGATTGGAAATAATGGCTCCATCCTAAGGACAGAACCAATCTCACTAAAATACCAACATGAAGGATTGGTCCAACTAATGACTCAGAAACAAGAGCAGCAACAACTAAGTTACCAGGGTTGTTTCCAGAGGCACTCGAGGATAAACCTAGGTTTCTCTCTAAGTACTCCCTTTTAAATGTCCAGAATCTGTTCTTAAAAAGAGAGAAAAAAGTGAAGAGGCTCTCTAGAAAAATGGTAAAACTACAGTAATTTATGCAAACTGGCCTACAGCAGGACTGTCCTTCTAGCTACTGTTTCCAAACCTTTCTAGCAATTACAGCTATATGCTAAATACCAGCTAGCTAATGATCTGATCCTCACCACTCACCTCTTGGTCTTGTTTTCCCCTCGCCTTGGCTGGTAACATGGAAGACATCCATAGCAGACAGTAAAACTTTTGTCTGAAAATGTCTCTTCTGCTCACTGGTGGCATCCTCTGGAGAAGCCTATATAGTGACCGCATACATATTAGTACAGCAGGAAAACTGCCAGGAAATCAGACTCAAATTTACTTTCAGCCTTTATTCAAAGGCCTTTGATTTCATCGGATCTTTGGCAGATTATGCCTGTCAAAGATTCAGATTCAGTAAAAGTTTTGCTTAAAGAAGTGAGTAGAAATTCCAAGAGACACTCAATACTATCTGAGAGAATTCAAAATGCCCAACATTTCCCTTAAACACCTAGGTACCGTGTTAGGAAGAGGAGAGGAAAAACAGCACAAAAAGAGCAAGGACAACTACTCCACGTCACTTGCACACTTTAGCTCTTGGTGTGGGCATATTAAACAGCTGCTGCAAGCTGAGAAGTTATCTGTGACAGCTAATCCACAGTAACACATAAATTGAAGAAGGCTGGTGTACTCCTCCGTGCAAAGGCAACAAGGCACCTCTCACACATAGTTCAGAAGAGTGCATGTGCGGACAGTTACTGGGCAGCAGATGAGATGGCAGAACCTCACACCCTAGCTGGGAAAACAGGAAATCTTACATACACTCTATAGCTGATAGCCAGCACAGTTGCTCTCTGCACACTGAACACAAACAAGGTTTTGCACAGGGCCAGAACCTAGCTTCACAGGTGGTTCCCAAGAGATCTTGCCCTCAGGGAATTTTAGCTCCATTCAGCAGGCTCAGGACTCAGATAATCAGAAGAGGCATCTTCTATTTTAAACTGTACCAAGCCTTGAGATGTTATTGTATAAGCCTCTAGGAAACTGCTGCTCCGCAAGATGATTTAACTCATGACAGTTGCAGTCAAGCTTATGTTCATTACTATTTGTATTACTAAGCTAAGTCTGCATCAGAACTCACATCTGGGACACCTGGACTATTGACAATTTGGAGCTGAAGGCCACTTTCCATTTTCCCTTTCTTCAGACTACTTTGACTCTTTCCAGTGCTTTGAGTGGTTGAAATCCATAATCCAGACTCAGCTGTTACAGCTTGTATTAATCTGTCCTAAAAGTGGAGATAGTTGTTTTTGGTTTATTTGAGCACTGAAAGGAAATTGTTTTCTCAAAAATCAGTACACAGGAATGCTCCATGTGAAAACTTCCGTTCTCAACAAATTCAAGTGCTGCTCTAATGACAAGCAGGTATTACTAAGGAAAAGGGAAATTTTTTCATGTCTTACTTCAATGTTAAATGTTGCCTGAAAAATACCTTTATTGTTGTCTAGGGGCAGCATTTTCTTAGTTCACACGAATGCAGAGCAGGCAGAAAAAGCCCTTCTTCCTTGCTGAAAAGGTAGGAATTCCATTCCACTAAGTAGGCTGGCCAGATCTGCCAGGAAGTAGTACATGCTGTCTAAGAGCTGTGATCCCAGCCTTATCCTAGACTGTTGAAAATGCTGACTGAATACACCTCTTCATCACTGTTAGCACTTTTTTAACTATGCCACCAGCAGGATACCTCCTGTCCTTCCACCCCCAGTGCAAGGTAGAGCAGCAAAGCCTGATGACTACAAGAGAGACCTCAAGAAGCAGCTCAAGTGGATGCCTTTGTTTGTTTGCTGGGATGTTAAGAAGACTGTCCATCAGGAGGACTCGCACAAAATCCCACACTTGTTTCTTGGCAGGGTGTGGTAGGAGCGGGAGAGAAGAGGGATCAACACAGCCTTTCCCTTCAGCAATGGCTGGACCATCAGGAGACAAAAGGCCTTCAGAGCCTCCCTGTGGAAGCAGACAGCAACGCATTTTAACTCATAGTGTCCTTTAAATTTCCTCCTAACAACCCACCTGTGATGTGAAGGGCTTGTGCTGGCTCAGATGCACGTACCTTGGGTGGTCCAGAATGGAAAGCAACCATAGCCAAAGCTTTCAAGAAGTCAGGATAGTGCCACACGGGGTCCTGAGTATAATTGTGATAGATCAAGGACAGAAACTGGATAACGTTCCCTGGATAGGCAATCTCCCAGGAGGCTTCTGCATCTGCAATAGGCTTAACACAAATGTGCATCTAGTCAAGGCAGCGTTCCTCTCACTCATATGAGCTCGTCTTTGCTCCTCTCTAGCTACTCCTAAGGAACTAAGCAAACATGACATGGCCACAGAGAGGTCAGGCAAAGCACAAGCAGTCAACTCCCAGCTTGTAGACCAAAGGTACACCCAGTCAGAAAGGTGGCATATCCTTATCATCAAGAACAAACAAAATGGGTAATGCTGTGTTCAGAAGTTCTTAAACATGAGCCCATCACATCATCTGCTATGTAACTTAACCAGGCCAATAGCTGTGCTGACACTTTGAAGCCCCTGCTCACTATTATGCTCAGTATTGCCCTGTGAGCGCAGAGGAAGGCTAGGGGTTACAGGTAAAGACTGCCACTGATATCTGACACTCTCAGGCGGTTTATTCTGCCATCGATATTGCACTGTCCTTGCAACAAAATGCTTACCTTGTCCACAGTGACTCTAACCATTTCCAGCAGTAAAGCAGCTGCCTCTGCACACAACCCAATTTTGAGGACATTCTCCGTAAGGTGGTGCTGCAAGATCCACTGCAACATAGACTCAAGATCTTTCTACAACAGGAGGAGATATATTTCAAGAAAAGATGGGAATTATTTATGATACATCAAGGACAATGCCTGCTCTCTCTACATCAGAAAAAAAGCCAAAACATCTTCACCTCTAGCAGCTCCTCCCTCTCCTATTAAATGTGTTTCCCCAGGATAGCCCTAATGGATTGTCCTCTTCTGAAAGATATCTTTGGCACTGTCGGGGCAAAAATGCCTTATGGCTTCTCAGGACACTGGGGGAAAGTACCCAAATCCACTAATTCCAAGATTTTAATGAGTCTTGACAATGTAAGGACAGGGAAGCTAATCTGAATTACCTTCTAAAGTGCAGTAGTTAAATGGCATTTAACACCTGCACGAACAAGTTTGTTGTGAACACAAATTTCCTTAAATCAAAGTTAACTTACTCCATTTTTAAAGTATGAATGACTAATTTTAGCTATCACAAAAACCAAGTAGGGTTAACTGCCTGAGAATCCTCTCACAGAAAAGGTCACAAAATGCCAAACTAGTAAAACAATAGCAGCCTCATGCTTGTCCACCATTTTTTTCATACCTTGGCTGCTTCAGGTGGTTCAGACTGTGGAGTTGCCAGAAAGAGCCCTGCCACGAGCAAGTAGATCTCAGGGATGTGGACGTGATCAGTCAGACATCTTTGCAACACAGAAAACCCAAAAATCAAGAACGAGCCATTGTCAGGCACTGGAGGTTGAGTTTTTAAATTATCTTTAAAGAAAAAGAAAAGGAAAACATTCTGAGGAAGTATCTAAAAATGAATGCCATATCAGAGGAAGGATTACTGATGCAACTTTTTCCTCATTTGTCTGTGTCCCAGGCCACTCAGTACTCCGCTAGGCTGCAATATCAACAGTTCACAAAACTTCCTCAGACTAACAGATAACAATTTTTCCCACCACCACTTTCGTTACAGGAGATTCTTCCTGAATTATTATTCTTCCTTTCTTTTCCCTTTGTCAGAACCACAGGTCTAGTTATCAAAAAGCAAGCTGAACAAATCTTAAAGAAACAGAAGGTTTCAGGATAGAAGCTGAGATCTGAACATCTCACAGGCTTACCAACTAGCCTGATTTTATGTAAGACAAAAAGGCCCATCTCCCTGCAACTGCTAATCAGAAATGCCAACTACCGTGCAAGGGAGAAGCAATGCTTTCCACTCTTCAGCACAGAAAAGCTCAAGTATTAGGACAAGCTTGCCCTAGAAAGTAATATCAATTCATGGTCTACTGAGATCAGTGGGAATTCTCCTATCACCTACTTCAGTGATCTCCTATCACTGAGCTGGATCAAGAGATTGTTTTGGGAGCATTAAACTAACACATACCCATTAGAATACTCAACCCCACAGAGCTGTTTTCCAGCCAGCGCCCAGCCACTATCCCCTCCTTGAATTTGTTCAGCAGCAAACGATTGTGGAGGAAGCACAGAAGTAGCTTGATTCCTAGCACAACTGTGCTAGAGTGCAGGTAGCTCTGTGTGAACAGCAGAAACCAGTCTGGTCCCAGTGCCAAAAATGTCTCTTCTTGTTCCCTAGGACAAACAGGGAAATGAAAGCACATGAAAGGAGACATGGTGAAAGACAGAATGGAGATTTTATTTAAAATTATCTCTAAGTGATTTAGAAGCTCAAGCTTCTCTAGAAAAAATCTGATTAAAGGTTTACCGCAACACAGAATTACAAAGATTTAACAACACACTCATCCACACTTAATTCCCACTAAATCCAACCTTACGTTAGTCAGACAAAAAAGCTCATTAACATGATGCTCCTTCTGAGCGTGTATATCAATAACTGAGGTAAACGACATCACAGACTAGATCTTTCAACCTATGAAATTCAAAATTCCAGATTAAATTTTGAAGTCCAAGGTATGTTAACTTAATGAAAATGCACAGTTAGAGCACCCAGCACTATAAATTCTGCCTTTCAGTTATACAAGGTAGAACTATAGTAACTGCATCTTCATGGTTGCGATAGAGGGGTGCAAGCAATCCCCCATTAGATTGAATTGATTTTCAAAGACAGCTGGATTTCTTCAACCCTTGCAATGCAGAAGAAACAGCAATATCCGAGTTTCTCCTTTGAGACATTTTCTGAAAACATCAAACTTCTTTTCAAAATGGAGATCAGATGTGTGATCTAATCACACATCTGTGTGAATGCCAGATAAATCACTGACAAAAAATAACTCTGAATCCAGTCTGCTCTTACTTACTATTTTGTTGATACTCAAATATTATCAGTGTTTAGTTCTAGTCAAACACAAGTAAAGAAGAAACCTAGGAGACAGAGACACTTACCCATGCCTTCCTAAATTGTTTCTACTTACTCAGAGGACAGATGAAGTTTGTTTGAGCGCATTACATCTAGCAGCATCTTCAGTAACTGGTTTCGAAGCCAGATTGTCTTTCCAGATGTTTGGCTTAAGGCTACAAATATCAGAAAGTAATAAAGAGTAATGAAGAGATAAAACACATGTTCCATTGCTTTGATGAACAACCTTGTTTGCACCAGATTAGCCCAATGGAAGTACTTATATCAGTCTTTTGTAGAGCAGAAAGATGCAGACATTAGATTTTAGACATAAGAATTCCTGCTAACATCAGAAATGACCAGTGCTTACATTGTCGAAGTCCTCTCTTTAGAGTTACTTAAAACTCATCCAGACTACATGTTGAATAATAATCCATAGGAAGCAATCTCAGGTTAACTAGAGAGGGAAATGTAAACAGGCAATCTGACTTGTATTGCCTAGCTGTGATGTCTATATATATATAAACTACAGTTATCAGTGTCTCCTTAATATTGTTTAGAGGTGCAATAACCAATATAATCTCAACTGAAAGATCACAATGAAAGAGCCAGCTGACTGGAAGTTCCCACACACAAAGTTGACATAAATAAACAGATATTTTAAAAAGTGCAGAGCTCCACATTATTACTTGCTACAACTGTAAGTGTAGCAAAGTGTTCACAGAAAATCCAGGATGCCAAGTGAAATCTTATTCCTTGTAACAGCCCAGTACGTTAGTTTTGGGGCAATTTCAATTTAATGGCCTTTATCTCTGTGTATATCTGTGAAATCCAACATTGTGTAGGCTCTGGACAATGCAGCCAAAGTACTGCTGTCTTGTTAGCAGAGAGAGGACAAAAGGGGAACTCCCTGAGCAGGAGAAGGATCTTGCTGTAGGTCAGGCCTTCCTGGTTATATACACAGCGACTGCCACTTCACTATTCTTCACGTCATGCCTTTGCAGCAATGTAAGCTTTCCCCACTATTTCAGGTCACCTCAGTGCAGCCCGTCCCTTTCCAGATGAAGTAATTTGAATTGTGTCTCTTCCTGCTATGGGAGGCAGAACCACTATGTTGCATTTAGAGTTCATTAAGCCCTGGGGAAGAAGGGAAGTACTTTAGTTATCTATCAGAACACATACACCAAAAGTAGCTCCTCACCTTCACTGGGCATCTCAGCCACACCATCCAGGCAAACCTGATTTTCATCTACAGAAGAAGGCTTCAAAGTGTAAACAAGGAACAATCCAATCCTTGCAGAGAAAGAGTGAACAAGTTGTGGTCAGCAGAAAGACAGACATTAATTTAATTACTTTGAGATTACATGCAAATCTCAATACTCACTAACGATGACTGTTAATGACAACCATTGGAAATTCTAATGGCTGCAGAAATAGGGTTGAAATAGGAATGCAAAAGTTCATAAACTAGGAAGCAAGTAAAAAGGACATCTCTCTACAAATGCAAGTAATATCTATTCTACCACGGAAACATTTGTCTCTTTATCTTTTGATTTTAAAGGTCTTTCACCATGAGGAAAGCAATAGTGAGTTAAGCACTCTGTTCATACAAAAGATTCTGAACTCCCTGTGGCATTCAGACATCAGTGTTATCACCACCTGGTTTTCCCAGCACATAGAGGAGAGCAGAGAAACCTCAGCAGCTACTCAGAGAGGAGGACTGGCAATCTCTTTCCACCTGTAGTTTGCTTTAACACATTACCTGGGGTTCTAAGGATAGATAGATTAAGGTGACATACACACTTAGTGAAAGTGCATAGCCTCCTCCTGCCCACAAGAAGGGCATTTCTTAAGGGACAGAACACCACTTGTTCTGCAGGAACAGTCCACACAGCAATTTCCATTAGATGTGTCAAAAGTCTGGGACCAGGAGAAATCCCAGCACCTTTCAGTGCTGCTGAGAGCCTGCTATAGTCGCTGCTCTCCTGGAGCTGGAAGGGTAGGGACTGTCTTTATCCACTCGCTCAGCACTTATGGGCCTGACAACCAATCAAATTACCATGGAATAACAAATCATGATACTTTAAGAATAATGCTCATTCACACTCCTTACTAGGTGGCAAATTTGATATACTAAATCCACTACTCACACCTGTATGAAAAAAGAATAGGCTAACTCATACAAGCCCAGGGTAGGAACATACGTACAAGTAATTCCACAAAACAGACGGCAAGTAGTAAGTTCACATATTAGCTTACTCTATAGTAACTACTTGAGGTGCTCGTACTCTTCATCAGAGCTAAAGACTGACTGCAGAGACCACAGATTCAACATGCAACTCTGTTTCTACATTTTATTTGGACAAATAGCTTTAAAAACAGAGCTTTCATCTGTGCAATGCATTTCCCTGGAGTTAGGTGGCTATAGACAGTACTGTGTGGACCTTCCTCATAGGCTACAGGCTGATGCAACTAGGCTGGGAATATAAAATGGAGCAGTATTTACATTCTGTGGAAAGCAAACAAGGATTTAAATTCTTTGCTTCATGAAATCCTGACTAACATATGTTTAACTGATTGAAATTCAAGAACAAAAAGGATAGCTACTGGGATATAAGCCAAGCCAACTGGATTAGGTACATAGTTGACTGGGGCCAAGTTGCAATACTACAGCAATTGCAACACTTTAGGGGCAGGCTTTAATGAAACCAAATATTAAGTACAGACTTTGAGCAGTCCCAGTCATACCAGAAGAACTCTTTGTGCCATCATTGTAAGGGTCATTACCCAACCCATCCTCACATAAATGTAAGGTTGGACTAACTGTGTTTTGAAGGCATGAAAGAGTTTTTCATCAGTGGGAATCCTGCAATTCTCAAAGATCTGGAGGGTCCTACCAAAGATGAGATGAGGGAAGTTCTACTATAGAGCTCTCTCCAATACTGGCAAGAGTATAGCTCATCTACAAACTGAGAAAAAGCTATAGACTTGAAGGTTACCTGAGAACATCCCTTGTGTTAAAGTATCCTTGCAACAGTTGGGAGAGAATAGTGCAGGCCACAGTGATCCTGGAGTTACTGATTTCAGGATCATTGAAGAGGAAAATAAGCTTGGGCACCATTTGCACCTGGTAGGCAACTGCAGCATTCTGATATCCATCTCTGTAAAAAAGCACAGAGACTATTAAAAGCTTTTACTGGAAAGAACGAAATTTGCTGGGTTTCAGCTAAAAGGATTCTCAGGTTGCACTGATGCTTTGCACCTTTGGCTTCTAATGTTGCCTTGGCAACATTTCAAACACTGTCAGACAAATTGAAAATGTGTCAGCGATGGAGATCTGAAGACCTCTTTGTATGTTCTCTACCCTTCCCATCTGCCCTCTCCCCCCGGAAACTGCTGCATTTCAACGAGTTCAAAGCAAACAACATTATTGAATTTTCAAGCAGTGAGTTGGTGGTAATAAATGCTATTCTTGTAAAGCTCAGCAAGGGACAGACAGCTCTGCATAGAGCTTTCTGGTACCAAAACCAAGGAATCTGACATCCTGGTCTACTCAGCCCCTCTGCCATGCTATGTCTCTTCAAATACATTTAACTCTAGTTTAAGAAAGTTAACTCTGATTAAGAAAGTACACTGTTATAAAAAAGTCTTCCCGGGTTGTGTTTTGGTTTTAAATACAATTTCACTTATACTTTTTTTTATTTCATACTCAATTCAAACATTCAGATTTCCCCTTCCCAGCAGACATTTAAACTTTCATTGTACAGCAGTGGTTCCATGTGAACCAGGTCATCAGATAGCTTTTCCTAGTCTGGCCCCCACAGTCATGTCAGGGGGCTGATCAAATCACTAACTTTAGCCTTAAAAGAGCAATATAGGAATGATTCACTCCCAGAGTCCACTGATTCCAACTAGGATTGGACCCTTCATATCCACCTCACAGTTCCAGCTTCAGGTTACAGATGAGCTTGTCCCACGTTTCTGATTCAAACACTAGATTGTGTACCTGGACGACTGCAAGATCTCCACAAGATGTGAAAAAAGAGCAACATCAAGATTTTCTGGTGCTTTCATCCAAAGCTGAAAGACAAAGGAAAGCAGAAGTTTTACTGCTCTGCTGAGCTGAGGGGACAGTAACCTGGGGCAGAGAAACAGTTACAAAGTAATTCAGGGAGGATAACATCACAAACTCTCAGTCGTTTCTGCAATGACAACCTGCAGGCACTGGGAAACCTCTGCCAGTGTGAGGAGTTGCTGCTTCTGAGCAAGCCCGTGAGGAGCAGGCCCTCAGGATCTTGAGGAACACTCCAGAAACTGCACCACGGCACAGTGGGGAGCCATGATGACAGAGGACCTGCCGTTCCAGGACCACCTCCCCAGGTGAGCCACAGTGTGGAAAATCAGCACACACTACCCCATGCCAAATATTGGATCCAGGAGGTGCTATGAACAAACCAAACCTCATACTATAAAGCCATCTTTAATACAGCCAAACCCACAAAGTAACATCAACAGTTTTACCTCAAAGTTGCAGAGAACATACTGGAATGCACTATAATTCTTGATGACTGAAGACTCAAAGCCAAGCTCAGCTGTGCCCACTAGGGAGAACATTAACTGTAAAATCCTGTTGTTTAACAGCTGTGTCTTCCTCTTCAATAGATAGGTCAGCAACTGAAAAAAAAGATTTAATAACTATCTGCTGAGTATAAATCTGTATTTATAAATTAACGTATAACATTATTTTTTAATTCAAGACAAATGCACAGTTTACTTGGTTGTAGTAGTCATGCATGCATACATTTTACATAAGCATTATGAAGAAAGCGAAGATTTCAGTCCAGGCATAGAATTTTGTGCAGTAAATGAAAGGGTAAGTTTTTGAAGGAGTTTGACAACTCTGTGGCATTAAACAGGAGAAAAATACATGCCATATTATGTTGAATGGAATTTACAAAAAGCAACACACATAATTGTAAATAACCACAGTAGGTTTTCTACACTATTCTTCATGGATGTATTTTTAGTTGCTTGCAAATGGTGTTAGTTTAAAAAAATATATTAATGTTGATCTCTTCAGATAAAAGACATTTGTGTGAAACATTGCCAATTTCTCAACTGAGTCTATCTTTGATTATTCAATGAATTCCCGATACAGTGAGAAAAATGTTCAGAAAGCCACTACATTTTGAATAGGTTGAGAGGAATAGACATTCATTTGAAAATATATTAAGACACATTTTTATTAATTGGCTGTTTAAAAAAAAAGGTTCAGACATCCAAACAAAGGGCAAAACCACTCCATTCCAACATGATGATCTGTCACATGGAGAGAACACTATTTAGCATAAAGTCGAAAGGAACAGCTCGTACACAATCTAAAGGCTGGCATTCACCTACAAGAAGGGATTGGGCAAGCAATATCTAAGTATAATAAATATATTCATATGAATCAGGATCAATTTAGGAACAATTCACAAATTGGGAAAATGGAAAGTTAATAAATTATTCACGAAGCCTTAATGTTAACAGTCTCGTTTGGAAACAATCTCCAAGTCTTGTCTGTTCCATAAGACTCTGCTTATCCTACACAGCATAAAGTAAATTAAACTGAACTGAAACTTCACACTTGAGCCTTAACCCATCCAATATTACATATATAGTGCTTAAAATTTGCCCTGGTTCTCCCAAAATCCTGAGACAACCAAACTCCTCAGTTTGCATAGCTTTCAGGTTTGAAAGGTCTAGGACAAATCTAACCAATATAGTTTGAAATCCAGACAGCACTTACTTATATCAGCACAATTTCTGATACACAGTGAAGACTGAGCCATAGGAATTTACTGTCAGCCCTACACTGGGCAGTCTGTAAAGAGGAATCTTAGGCTGGATGAGCCAAGGGAAGTAAGCAGACCTGCCTGAGAAGTGGTCTCTTGTGGGAGGGATCAAGTGTGTTGGTAAAAGGTGAACGGTGGGTCACTCAAATCTGCTGCATTGACTTTACTAACTATAGTCAATACAGGCAGCATGACACCTTCCATTATTAGATCACGTCTGACCAAGAGGCATCTGTCCTAACCTTCCCATCAGCAAATATACTAGAGGTTCCCAGAGTAAGCACAGGATTTAGGGCACCATCCTATATCCCCCTCTCAAAGTTCCAACCACAAGGGCTGATAGCCAGGATATGCTCGGTTCATTGCCGTTGATAGGTTTTGGGATAAGACTATACCCAGAATGAATGAACAAAAGAGTATCTACCTGGTATCCACCCATGTGCCTCATCAATCTTTCACTCATTGGGCTACTGTTCAGGATGGAGTTCAGGACTTTGACAGCTGCATACATGGTGTGGTCATCACGGGCCATAGCAATGAGACCCAGGAGAATGGCAGGGCCTCCAATGAAGTTCAGGCTAGTAGCTGCTGGACAGGACTGGAACTCTCTTACCCCTAGGAAATTGCAATGTTACTCTACTGGGAAGTTACATGGACTAAATCTGTTATTGGCCAGAGAAAGGCCCAACTCTTAAAAAATATGAAGCATTAAGGTATAGTGCATTTACCGTATCGGCCCACAGCAACTGATCCAATAGTCCGCAAGGAACCTGAGAGGTGTCCAGCAATATTCTTAGCCAGGAATATTGGAGTTGAACTGTCCCGAGAGTTAATCCCAATCTAAAACAGATAAAAGAGATATCCTAAGAAAAACCATGGTAGTATTGGGGAGACAAAAAGTAATAAGCAGACACTCTAATCCTTTAGATTATTTTATAACTTTTAGACTATGAAAACCATCACAAACTTTGCTATAGGAAACCAATCAGAAACAAGAGAAAATGTGTTTAAGACAAATGAGGGAAATTTGTGACCTCTTTGGCAATCAGCCGGCCATCCACTTCATTGTAGGAGCTCTTTATATCTTGGACCGTAGTGAGACATGAGCACATGGCATTGATTCCAAAAGAAATCTTCTCTTCTGCCACCAGAAGTGTAGGATTATCATCACTGTAGTGGTCCTCACCTAAAACAAGAGAGACCATAAACCTCTGAAGGAACTTTGCATGCTCAACATGTGAGACAGGAGAGAGGCAGATGAAAAATAACTGGAGGAAACCAAAGTTTAGGTAAGAATTTGATTTTGACTTAACTATAATCAGAAAAAAGCCCTCACCCTTTGCAACACAGTCCATGGCAGCTTGCCAGCTTAAGCACCAGTAGGAGACTGTTGTGGTTGTTGTGCTTGGCTTGTCTCCTCTGGTTACTGCTTTGTGTAGATCCTACATCCTCTCCCAGTATCTCATGAAGCTCAGAAAAGTCCAGAATAAACCCTTCTCTGTCCACACAAACTTTCTCTGTCCACATGAACAAACTTTCTAGGCAGAGAAAACATTTCAGAGGCCTTCCGTGTTACTGGGAGCTTTCTCAGGGGTACTAGGAGCAAGGATTCATGTGGAAGAAAAAGGACAGAGGCAAAAGTTCAGAGCTGCTAACTCACAACATATGAGAAGTTTGTAAAAACTACCAGCTTCAGCAGCTTAATGATTGTATGAAATTCTCACATGCTTTTCTTTAAAGAATTTTCTATTCCTGCTCGCACTTGGAAAAACTATGTGTACCTTTTTTTAAAAAAAATCTTGTATTTTTTAGAATTTTATAGACTGGGAAAACAGTTGATTTATGCAACTGTTTACTAATGCTGGCGACACAGCCCTTATAGGCAAAAAGAATTAGCACATATTACACATGAAGATTAACTAGAAGTAAATGTCCCAAGACTGTGTCACTATTTCCCTTCCAGTAGGACACAGACTTACGGCTAAGCCTCCACACAGCTGCTGCTGACTAGTGAGAAGCAATGAGATACTGGTGAGATGGGACACAACACTGCTGAAACAATTCAGACTGCTGTTCGCAACAAGGTCATGAATTCATTTTAAGGAATAAACCATAATATTTTGGGGTTTTGTGCTGAAACTTTAAGTAAAAATTTCCATTATAAAAGTTTCTTTGGGTGTTTTGATGGAACAGGGAGATGTTAGGTACCACCTCCCCACCCTGCCCCTTCCCCCCG